CATGAATTCTGCTATTTATCATTTCAGGAAAGTCTGGGTTAGGAAAGGCAAAAAATAAATAAGATAAAATTGAGAATTTAAATTTGGAATAGTGGAAATGATGAATTGGTTAATTCAATTCAGTTCAAATCAGTTTGTTTATATATGTACAAGTCACAATAAACTTTGTCTCAGGGCACTGTACAAAAACAGCACATTGGCAAGAAAAACTGTCTTTTAACATGAAGAAAACTCCAGCAGAAACAGGCTCATGATGGATGGTCATCTGCCTCCTCCAACTAGATTCAAGACTTTCCTTTTTGATAAATCCTATAGTCAGAGTGTCAGCCTCATGGACAGAAACTGAAAGTTGGTTCCAAGAGAGCGGAGCTTGATGACTGAAAGTTCTGCCTCCCATTCTACTTTTAGAAACTCTAGGAACCACAAGTAAACCGGCAGTCTGAGAGCGAAGTGCTCTGTTAGGAAAATATGGAACAATTAGAATTTTAACATAAAATTATTTGATAAATTTATTGTTAGAACTGTTAACATTGGTGGCGGTGTACACTGAATGCCATGAGACAATATTTCTGTATCTTTCAAAGAGAATATTTCCAATGGCCTTTGTGTGACCATGTTAAATGCTAACGAGCTTGTTTGAAAGATAACAATACACAGTCATTTAAAAATGTTACTCCCCTTCACACTATTTCCTTTTGAACACTGGAAGTAACAAAACTTGCTAGTTCTACATGCATTTTTGTCACTTCTGTTTACGTCACCTTTCCGCCTCTTAAACTCGTCTGCAACGAGAAGTAGAAAACAGCATTCACACACAGCTATTTTTTATCTTAACCTTTAAAGGCAAAAATCTTGAATGTAGTTCATACTGAGTGGCTTCAGTTGCAACACTAATGACGATGACTTTTAAAATGTTTGTAATCGGTTTCTTTCTCATTAGAAATTCCTGTTCCCAAACTGGACAACCTGACCCAGTGGCTGGATGTGTTCCTCAATGAGACCGCCAAGTTGAGATGTCGGATGCAGGAAAACTCTGGGTGGACGTATACATGGTACAAAGATGGAAAGGAGGTCAAGTCTGATGACATCAAAATTGAAAACGATGAAAGCACTCTTTTCATAAAAGCTGCTTCAGCTTCACACCGTGGAAAATACACGTGCTCAGGAAAACTAAAGAACAGATCTGTCAACAGCAGATTTAGCTCTGAAGTTGCAATTCATGTCTATGGTGAGCTATTTTTTTTTTCGTTTCTATTTTTTTTACTGTAAAGACTTTTTAAAGGTTTTTTTTTTTTTCAGTTTAGCTGATGTGTTACTAATTTGGAAGCAGGAACTGCATTGTGCAAAAACAGTAGTTTTACAAGAAAAATTGGACATTTTCAAAGTCCTCTCCCTTTCTTCACCTCTTCTAAGGGTTGTTTGAAATTACAGTTAGTTTATGTCATTGTAGTTTATGCAAACTGTCACCCTTTATAGCTTCAAATAAAACATCTTCAAAGCAAAATTGTTAAAGAAATATCAAATTGTTTAATTTGTATTTGTATGAGTCACTGTTTGAGGAGTTAAATTTTTTGTTTTGTTTTATTATTTGGTTTATTATTGTTTGAAATTAATATTTTTTTTTGTAAATAGGAGCAGATATCATAAGACCTTTTACTTCTTCTGCTGCCTTTCATTTTATTTCATTTGTATTGTTTTGCTGTATGTAATGTATTGTTTTGTTTTTTAAAATGAAATGAATAAATACTATAAACTTAAAAAAATGGTCTGTGACAGGGTCACAGATCATTTTTGTTGAAAAGGAATGGAGGGTAGAATTTATAAACCAACACATTTTATGATCTAGGCCGAACTTGAGCTCCCTCTTCTTGAAAAACCAGCAATATATATATATATATATAAATATATATATATACGTATATATGGTGTAGCATTTGAAATTTATCCAAGACCTGCAAAAGCTGTCTGCTTTCTTAAATAGAAGGCCAAATTTCTTTTTCTGTCATGCTGATAAAAAGTACTGTTAACCTCAGAGAATTAACTGAGAAATAAACAAAGCTAAAGGTCATCTTCTTCCTAAACTGAGCTACTCTAACAGTCTTCTTTGTGATTACAATCAACTCTCAGATGCCGAACCCACAGTCACGCTGATGAAGGATACTGAGACCTCTTTGTTGCACACTGGGGATTCAGTCTCCTTCCGCTGTCACATCAGTGTCTCTTCTGGATGGGATTACCTGTGGTACAAAGATGGAAACCATCTTCAAGGATCTAAAAACCATCACAGTATTGATCAGGTTAAAGTAGCCGACTCTGGATCATATGAATGTGAAGTTAAGAGAGGAAAAGATAAAATTATACGATACAAAAGTCAAGCTGTGAAAATTGAAGTTCACGGTGCGTTTTGCTTAAATTCTTTTACCTTCTTTAGTTCATCTGTTGTTGAACTTGCACCACAGTTTTAATTTATTTCTTATTCTTATTATTATTTTGCTGCAGAGCGTCCACAGGCAAGTGTAATCTTGTTAACTGGCTGGTCGGAGGTCTTCTCCACAGAAAGCTTGGTGCTCAAGTGTGAAGTGGACGGTCTAGACCAGTGGAACTACACTTGGTAATACCTCAGATAAGAAATATCTCCTATGAATTATTGTCATTTTGAAAAAATCTGTTCAAAAACAATGCTTAAAATAAAATTTAAAAACAGGTATAAAGAGCAAGATTTGCTCAATCTCATGCCATCAGAGAAACACATTGTCACACCTCACAATGACCCCGAGCAAAGCCGGTACTTCTGCAAGGGCGTCCGCAACGAGAGGCCATTATATTCAAAAATGAGTGAGGCCCTCAAGACCAAGAACCTACGTGAGTATGACAAAGATGTTCAAGATAATTAATGTTTTACCCAGCATAAGACACCATTCTTTATTTTCACACACTGTATTTTTAACTTGTAGTTTTAAAGAGGAGGATCCTTCTATCCATCTCTGGCTGCCTCTTCTTTGGCATCATTGCCGTCTTCCTTGGATGCATTACCCTCAGAATTTGCCACAAACCAGGTCAGGTTTTAATTTGGGATTTTGAAGCTATACAATAACACATTAGCTTTTTTAAAAACCTGAAAGAAGACCAGATGATTGTTTAGCTGAGCACCTTTAATGCTTTGATTTGAAGGAGGTTGTGTTCAGTTTTTTGTCTGTGGTTAGTACACAGCCTACACCTCAAACAGAGAGCAGAGTAGGAAGTAGTTGTTGGTGGAGTCCAGAGGTTACTTAAGGTTGAGGTGTGACACCTGTTTTGTGAAATAGTTTAGCTTTTAATCCCACAGTGAGATGATATATGTAACTTTTTTGCTTTTGTCTCACAGCTGCTGCTGAGGACAAGATGGATGACATCATCCTGTTTCCTACCATGGCTCAGTTAAAGGACAGCAATGGTAAGTCATTTCAAAGTTGTTTTGTGTGCACTGTGCGAAATTTTTTTGTGTTTTTGTGTGTACAGCGAAAATTTGGAACAGTTTGAATATGAGTGGAAGCAATGTCCAAACATAAAGTTGTTTAAAAAATATATAAACATAAGATTCTCTGAATCATAGACAGTGGTGGGCACAGTTCCCCTAAAACACTAAAGCACTAATAGGGGAACTAATTTGCTGATTAGTGCTTTAGGGCTTTTGCTCATTTTAAAATTTATTAGTGGATTAGCACTTGCTAAATTTAYAGACTAAATTTAAAACACTAACTGAGGTTTTTAAATGTTATTGATCAACATTAATGTTAACAACTGAGGGTGAAAGCTGTCACACATTTTGTTCATATGTGTCACTTATTCACCAGGTGACATATTAACAAAATATGAACCCAAATAAGACTGTGGAATGTCAATGATAAGTCTTAAGAGACCAACATGGTGATATGTGACTTATGTTGTCTGTTGAAGAATGTTCACGGGTTGACTGGGTTATTTTAGGGCTTTAGAATTAGCTTTTGCTATTTTTTCAGTATATTAGTGCTTTAGAATTAGGGGACCTAAATATTTGAGTTAACGCTTTAGAATTAGGGGACCTAAATATTTGAGTTAGCGCTTTAGAATTAGGGGACCTAAATATTTGAGTTATTTGAGTTGGGCTTTAGGGCTAGTGGAACTAATTTTTTTAGATTAGTGCTGCCCACCACTGAATAAAGATAAGTAAAAAAAACAAAAAAAAAAAAACAAAACAAAACAAAAACACTGTATTCAGAACAGGGGTGGAGACTTTTGCAAGGGGTGGCCAAAGCATACAAATAAAGAAAAGCAATCTGGACTTAAAAATTCAAGATGGTCGCCACAGCTAATTCCAAATTGCTTTAATTCAGCTGTTTTAAGAAACATTAAGGTGAAAAAAAAAACATTGAGGTGAAATTGTATGAGTGACCATAGCTAAAAATGACCAAAAAAATTAATAAACACGTTGAATGCTTGTCACAACGACCATTGAAACAGTCTAAACTGAAGATTAGTGTTGAAGTAGCTGAAAACAATCAATAAATTCTAAATGCTAATCAAAAATTCAATATGGCCACCACAGTTCTAATTTTAAAATGCTATAATTCAGCAATTTCAAAAACGATTGCGATTCAATATGTTGTGGAGTAGGAMCGATCATTTGCTGATGCTATAATCCCAAATTATGCAAACCACTAATGCTAATGCTAATTTTACAAAGGGCTATAATTYAGCCATTTTTTTTAACATACACAGCTGAAAACATTCATACTGTAGTGCAGTATTATAAGAGAACAATCTTTAATAATATTTAAATGCAAATACAAAATCCAAGATGCCAAACCACTTGTCAGCTTTTGGAGGTGGCAACTGGGGTGGCCAATCAGGTACCCCAGAGTGTAGTGACACATTTTCTTTTTTTTTTTTCTTGTAGATTCTTCTTTGTTTTTTTTTTTTTGCTTAAAATGCTTGTATGCGTACAGTTACCATGTTCAAAATAAACCAAACAAACACCTTTAATTGTTTTTAGTTTGTTTGATAACTCTTTTTTTTTCCCTGAAGGCAGAGCCACACCATGATTCATGCCAGTTATTTCTGGTCTCACATCATAAAAGTACCTTCTTTTTTTTTAAGTGAAGAGAAAATAGAGACAGAGAGAAAAACAGAGAGAGAAGCAATCAGAAAGATAGAAAGACCGAAATAGCGACCAGAAGTATACCAAACATACACCAACAAAACACAGGACAACACACCCAACATTTGCCCGCCCACCTGAAAAACAAATGGACAAATACATGGAGGGCATATACAAAAATATACACATACCCAAACATATATAAAGATATACATACATACATGCCTACATTCATAAATATTGTCAGTATATACACACAGACATATATACACACTCAGTGACCAGTCAGAACCCCCGGATCAGAACACCTGTTTGTGAGCAGTTGTGAACATGCGTGTATATACAAGATTTCTCCAATGGAATATTTAATAGTGACTGTGGAGGACCGGAGACCCAACCCCCAAGACACGAGGCAGACATAGGGAAGACCAGAGCCCAAGGGCCCGAGAGGGATCCCGAGCGCAGAGCCCCAAGGGGCACCCGCACGGGAAGATCCGCCCACCCACCCCCCAGATCAGACCATAGGGGAGAACTGGGAGAGTCCCCCCAGCGACCACACACACAGCCCCCGGGGCCAGCAGCGACAAACTCATGGGCCCCACCAGCACCCGCCATACCAAAACAGATCCAGGAAAGGGCACAGAGGTCCGGGCCCCCAGGGCGCACCCCCTCCAGGCCAAAGCCCGACAGGCCCAGAGGCCCCGAGCCCCAGCAGGCAGTCACCAGGCCAGGCCGGCACACACCCCAGCGCCCAGCCCCCGGGAACCCCCAGCACGCCGGCGGCCAGCTGCACACCCCACCGGGGGGCCGAGTAGCAGCGGGCCCCCAGATAAATCAGCAGTAGGGGCAGCCCAGACCGCAGCCTAACAAATACGCAAACATACACAATCGCACCATCCCACCCTCATCCTCACCCCCACTCAATCAAAGACATACAAGGATGCCACATTCCACTCATACCCCCGATACACACTCTATACCCCCCAGGTCCAGGACATGCACCCACCCCCTATTGGAGGCAGCACACACCCGAACCCAGGAGGTAGACCCAATCATTCTGAGTGGAGAGGAGCAGATAGCCAAGGCCCGGCCCGGGCCGCACCAGGATGCCCGGCCAGCCCCCCACCGCAGACAAGCCACACCCATGACCACCACACCACACCGCCAACGACCATGTGCACCCCCCCAGCCGTCCACTCCCCGGAACACAGCAGCCACCCCGGCCAGGGGGCCACTGTGGGTGGCCCCCTGGCCGGGGTGGCCCCTGGCCCCAGAGTGTAGTGACACATTTTCTTTTTTTTTTTTCTTGTAGATTCTTCTTTGTTCCTCTTTTTTTGCTTAAAATGCTTGTATGCGTACAGTTACCATGTTCGAAATAAACCAAACAAACACCTTTAATTGTTTTTGGTTTGGTTGATAACTATTTTTTTCCCTGAAGGCAGAGCCACACCATGATTCATGCCAGTTATTTCTGGTCTCACATCATGAAAGTACCTTCTGACACATTAAATTGTTGGTCCGGCCTAAATAGTTCTGCTTTATTAAGCTTTCTGGTTTGTGGGCTTTTTATTTTTGTTCTTGTTGCAGATGCACCCTGTCCGCTGGTTGAGTACATCACTAATGCAGATCTGAATGCACCACCGAAAGGTAGAAAAAAATACAATAAATGAGAAAAGTTAACTTAAGACCTAATCTTAGATTTAGAATGGCTGCCACGGTCATCTTACCATAAAAACACAAAAATGGCTTTAATTCTGTCCCTATCAGATTTTGGTTCAATTTGTTGTGGTACTAGATACTGTAAGTTATTTACAACACATACTTTGAGTGTGACATCTTAATGTTATTTAATCATTTCTATAGTTTGAAACCAATAGAGCTAAATAATCTGTCATTGCTTATCTAAAGTTGATCTTAGTCTATAATTGGCATGATGCCATCAAATGTTGTATATTTTTTATTAAAAAATGCTTCAAATTAGCAATTGCAAAGATGACAGATGCTAGAGGATTTTGGATTTGCCTTCATTTAATAAGTGTGAACTTTGTCTCACCTGATGTGCAGAGGGTGAGGAGGATGAAATAGTTTGCAGTGAAACAACACCATTACCCATATCTTCAAAGGAGGACCAAGGTGATTCATTTAAATTACTAACACCAGTCTGTAACGAACCTTTTGATGCTCCTGTTAAGTTAAACCACTAAACATTTCTGACACATCTTGTTTTCAGCTGTGACCACCAATGGCCATGAAACTACAGAAAATGGTGGTGGGATGGTTTCCTTTCAGCACTGAGTTACTGAAGATTGCGTTCCTTTCGACGAACCTGTCAAACCTTAATAACAAACCAGATAACATTCAAAAGGAAAYGCTCAGTTCGTCCGACTCAGTTCTGAACACCTGTAAGCTGAGGGCAAGAAAAAAATCCAGAGCATTCAAAAAGTTATAGGAAGATGTTCAAAGTTAATAATGTATTTTTCATGCTGGATAAAACTGTGTGTGGTTTATGTGACTTCGTAAAACAAAACCATGTAAGTGTAAATATTTTTTCCACACATTATTGTTTAAATCTATCATGCGACTGATAAAGATTGTGCTTTATTTATCTCCGTCAGTGAATATTTACATTCTTTGAACAGACACCAGATGGCAGTAGATATAACTTCTTCAAAGCTTGTATTTATTGTGATAAACATTTCTTAAATGAATGTAGATGCTTTGCTCTTCACAAGCAGCCATTTCCATACAGTTTGATACATTTTTTATCTACAAATCTTGTGCTTTGATATGTGAATTAAACAAAATAAAATATACAAAATGTTGCCATGAGAGCTCATTTCACCTAATGCCAGTCTTCAGCAGCAGATCTCACAGCCTAATAAACACATATAGCAGCAGGGCCATCTGTGTTTCAGTCAGAAACCTGTAACAGGAAGACAAGGGAAACAGTCATTATCTGAACTCGCAAAGAAAATCATAGGTTTTAATGAACAGTATGTACTGACTTACATTTAGTTGAGAATTTCACCCAGTTTCTCCAAATAATACTCATAATTCTCCTTGCAATCCTCCCACGGTGCGAACTCCTCGTCCTCCTTATCCACGTACATTTCCCAGACTAGCTGGAAGTCGGCTGGCTTCATCATTCGCAGTTTGCAGCCGGCCCGCGCCAGAGCCTTGAGGCCTTCCCTGATCTCTGGCTCCTCCCACTCGAAGAGGCGGGAGCAGAATATGGTGAGGCGAAGCTTCTTGCGCTGCTGGAGGATGGTGGCCAGCTTGGCTGCGCAGGCCGCACAGGGACTGGAGGATACAAACCATGTGATGTCATGTTCTTTGGAGGAGTTTGGCAGCACCTGCAAAAACAAAGAAACAACAGGGATCGTTGAGGCCGGAAAGATTCTAAACAACATTTAAGCAATATATGATGCATGGTTCTAAAGC